CCCCCCTGCCTTCTTTCACAGAATGGTATGATCCCAGTGTGTCGTTGCGTGTGATTGGCCACATGGTGTGTCGCACCCCTGCCTGCATGGATTCACAGCAGGGCTGAAGGTTCGTCTCCCACGTACTGATGGGATATTAATAATGTGACATTTTTAATGGGCCAGATGTGGCCGTACGTTTCACACCCCTGCTTCCAACAGGATAATGCACCATGTCACATGTTCAAATCATCTCAAACTGGCCAATCAGACGTCAGCAGTCACCAGATATAAACTCAAACCTTTGGAGCTGTTGAGCCACATCATGCATGTGCAGATCTTTGAGGAACCACATTTTGAATCTACGCCACAAAAGGTCTAACTGGGTCTGACGAGGTGTAACTAATGAAGTGTCCGCCGAGTGTATTTTTAGGCCCTAGCAGCAGTTGGTTTACACTTCATTTGCATTTCAACAAAAACCTTTAATTTCAAAGCTGCTGTTGTTGCTGCGACCTGACCACAGCGCCTGTGACGCCGACTTTAAATGCAGTACTTTAACAAAAACGTTGCCTCTGGCCTTCGGGGGAAACAACTGTACTACAATACACGTCGAAGCACACGAACACATAAAACCCCCATAGACACAGATTGATTTCCTGTCCATCAGCCGTCCGCATTTTCACAGCTGGAAGAAAAACAGTGCAGCAGAGAAAAATGGCTGATGGAAACCAGAAACGCAGAGAGCACGAGGGGGTGAGCCAAGTCTCAGGGCAGGACGCAGCGAGTTCATATCGAATTCACCGTTCCCTGGACTGTGATGAAAGGCAGTTGGGAGGAAGTGACGGCCATTAACATTCCACCTCACTTTCTTTCTGCAAATTTTTATTTCCTCCTGGACTCGAGAAAATCAGGAGACCGGGAGGGACCGAGGAATCCACCGCAGCTAACATTTATGTCTGCTTTTCATTTGTCCTCGGATGCTTCAGTTCACTTCTTTAACCTCCTAGGACCTGCGTCCACATATGTGGACGTCACATTTTGGGTTATTTAGACCAAAATACTCAATTTTGCTCTACAAGGGCCTGATATCCACTTACGAGGATGTTATAGTGCTACTGTTCTATCAACATTTTAAACGAATATCTTCATATGTTGCTCTGATTTTTCTTAAAAACAAAAATAAAGTAAAAAAAAAATTCTTTGTTTCTACATTCATCAGGTCCCAATCAGCCCAAATATCAAAGAGAAATTAAAAATGCTGCAGTGGAAGAGTTCGGGTCTTAGGAGGTTAAAGGATCCTTCTATTAAAATCATTATACTCGACATTAGCTGCTTTCAAATCAAACCCATCCAACTGAAACACTTACTCTGAGAACTTGTGGATCAACTCTTCGATATTTGGATCCTAAAGTAAGCGTCTCAGAAACACGTCGAATTTCATACCATATAAAACACCAACCAGCCAATGAGCAATTAACTGTAAGTGTTGGGGTCAAACTGATATCCCCAGCTGATGTTACAACCCAACGTATAAGCTTAAAAGTGTTTCAGTTACTAATCAGTTAATA